AAATTGTATAATGTGTTCAGCCTGACTAGATATTCTGGGAGATGGTGGACGAACCGGATCCGTAGGGAACCCTACCGGGATTGTGGTCTCCCATACCGGACGGGGTATGGAGATCTTATGTGTTTTGGCGCTCATACCGGACGGGGTATGGGGACGGCCCGTTTCACCCCCATACCGGACGGGGTATGGAGATCTTATGTGTTTTGGCGCCCATACCGGACGGGGTATGGGGACTACCCGTTTCACCCTCATACCGGACGGGGTAATGAGGTCTATGTTTTGGCGCCCATACCGGACGGGGTATGGGGACGGCCCGTTTCACTCTCATATCGGACGGGGTAATGAGGTCTATGGTTTGGCACCCATACCGGACGGGGTATGGGGACGGCCCTGGAATAGATTTCAAGTGTTAAGGATTAACGGGTAGCGGGACCTCTATGGATCCCCATGGATATTAGTGGACTGGTGAATTAGGAAAATATGTTGTGTAACGATTGAATTACGAAAAGTTTGATAGGTATTATGTTATACAGTTCATATATATGTTTTCATGATGATGATGATGTTATTGCTTTCGTATATTGTTTTATGAATTTCACCGAGGTAAGTGAATGGTAAACGTTTTATTATTAATAAAAGGATTTGTTGTAAATTATGCTTCATTGATCTTTTTGTGTTTTCTACCCACCTTTACCTCCGTGACGGTGAGATATCGTGATGTCCTTACTGGGCTAGTGTAGCTCATTCCTTATTTAATCATTTCAGATCAAGAGGACATCGTTCCCGAGCCGGTTCCGCAGGAGGACGACGAAGGGAACGCCTAAAGACTCCATAGTCACATTCGTAGTTTTTACTTTCAAGTTTCTTCTTTAGGTAGTTTAATCTTTTATATTTTGTGAGTACGTTTTTGGTTTTAGTATAAGGGATGTTATTCAAATTTTGACTTCGCTTCCGTATTTGATATTTTTAATATAAATTCCATTTTAAATTTCCGGGGCTACTACAATTTGCTTTAAATTTATTAGCTTAGTAATTCGATCATAGCAGGAAGTCTTTTTAAATCTAGAATTCAAAATTGTTAAATTAATATATATATTTTTAATTATATCAGAATATTTTAAAAGATTATAGAAAAATTCAAAAAAAAAAATTATTATTGATTTACAAATTAGTGTAAGATTATGATAAAATTTTATTATTGATTTTTGTGTTCTTATATTTATTAATAAAATTACTGATTAATTGTTATATTTTATCTAGTAACTAAATTCTTACAAGTACTGGTTATCATGGTATGAACTGTTAAGATATTAAAGATGCATAACATGCGTTAGTTTTAGTGAATATGTATAGTTTGTGTCGTATGTATGAGAACAATTAAATAAAAAATTTAAAAAATTTATCAGTGACTTAACATAAAGAAAAAAAATATTAAAAAATTAAAAAAATTCATTTAACTGGAATTACCAAGGGGTGGGTGTGCGTGTAGTCTTCTAAAGTGTTACTGTGGTGAATTATATCTATAGATACAGCTTTAACCAGACGTAGCGAGATCCTTACTACTTTCATTGATACTGGCAGAAATGATATCACGTAATGAAACTATTTTAATATGATATAAACCGATATGAATGAATAAGAAATTATGTGTAACGTTTATGACACTGAAATAATAAATTAATATTTATTGAACTATTTATTACTTAAATTATGCTACTGAATACTAAATCCTAATATTTATTGAACTGTTTATGTTTGAGTTATGATATTAAAATAATGAATTATGAATGTTTACTAAATAAACTGATTTAAAAAGTCTGGTAAATAAGTTAATATGTAAATAGTATGTGTTTTTAGAATTAAAAAGAAAAATATTTTTAAACCCTATCCATCGGTAATTTTATATTTTCTACCAATTTGAATATATTACTTTATTATTTATTGGTACTTACACACTTATTTAGTATATTGAGCTCATGCTATTTATTATTTATCTTTTTTCATACCATGATAATCAGAATTCAACTTATGAACAGAGATAGATTCGCTAAGAAATCGTTTTATTTTATTTTCATTTGAATAATATTTAACGTTAATTATTTTTTTGTAGTAAATGTTTATTTCAAGATTTAAACATATTTAATAAATATTAGATATTTTGAATTAAGTATGCAACATATACATTTTTATTATTTTAAAATTTGCTGTCGAAGTATTTTTATAAATTATTTTATTATCTTATGTTATGCGTATGATCAAGTTTTTGCATGAAAATTCGGGTTATTACAAAAATTTCAAAAGATAATAAAAATTTTTAAAAGATTGTGGAATTATATAAAAGAAAAGAAAAAATATAGATAAATATAGAAAAAGGAAGAATTTCTAGATTCTTTCTAAAATATTATTATATGTAACGACCCCGGAAATGTGAAAATGAAATGAGTATTTAAACACATAAAATGCGGAAGCGAGATCAAAATTTCAGTTAACATCCCTTACACGAAAACCAAAAACGTACTTAAAATATAAAAGATTAACTAACTAAAAGAGAAACTCGAAAATAAAACTATGAGTATGACTACAGAATCTCTAAGCATCCCCTTCGTCGTCCTCCTGCGGAACGGGCTCGGGAACCATGTATTCCTGATCTGAAATGGTTAAATAAGGAGTGAGCTACACTAGCCCAGTAAGAACATCACGATATCTCACCGTCACGGAGGTAAAGGTGGGTAGAAAAACACAAAAGACCAATGGAGCATGATTTACAATAAACTCATTTATCAGTAATAAAACCCTTTACCATCCACTTACTTCGGTGGAATTCATGAAACAATATAAGAAAACAATAACATTATCACAATCATGGAATAATATAAGCTGTAAAACATAGCACTTATCACGCCTTTTGTAATTCAATCATTATACAATATATCCTTTTCTCATTTACCAGCCTACTAGTATCCATGGGGGTCCATAGAGGTCCCGCTACCCGTTAACCTTTAACATTCATAATCAGTTTCCAGGGCCGTCCCCATACCCCGTCCGGTATGGGCGCCAAAACCATAGACCTCAATACCCCGTCCGGTATGAGGGTGAAACGGACTGTCCCCATACCCCGTCCGGTATGGGCGCCAAAACGATAAACCTCAATACCCCGTCCGGTATGAGGGTGAAACGGGCCGTCCCCATACCCCGTCCGGTATGGGCACCAAAACCATAAACCTCAATACCCCGTCCGGTATGAGGGTGAAACGGGCCGTCCCCATACCCCGTCCGGTATGGGCGCCAAAACCATAAGATCTCCATACCCCGTCCGGCATGTGAGACCACAATCCCGGTAGGGTTCCCTACGGACCCGGTCCGTCCACCATCTCCCAGGATATCTAGTCAGGCTGACCCCATAATACAATTATCAGTCTACACAATCTTTTATTTTCCTTTTCCTCAGTCAGCATCATCAATTTACATTTAAACAAGCAAATCGTAATTCATGCCAAACAGACAACATACAGTATCAATTTTTTAGTCATTCAACCCATAATTAATAAAAACGTAGTATATGCACACAAATCTGTAAAATGAACACATCAAACCTCATTTTGCATTTAAAGCTGTAAACAAGCCAAATAATAGTAAATCACCAATCACACTAGACTCGGGCTCCATTAGCCACCTTAAGCAATTTCACACATTCGTTAATTCAAGAAATACCGTTTTATCATTTTGAACTTTAATACCGTGATAGGAAATAGGGTGAGGGGTCCTTACTCGTTTCGGGGTCCGAACACGGCTTTGCAGTGCGCTTGCAGGCTGTCCCTAATTTTCCCTGAATTTTCCTCGGGGAACTGAAACGCACTACTGGTACCTGCACGTGTTCCAAAAAATCCCAAATTAGGCCCAGGGCCCCTTTCGGCCCAAATCGCAACTCCGGCACGGCGGCGGCGAGTCGCCTCGGGTTGGCTGTTTTCGGCCGTTTCCGGCCGAATTCGGCCACACTCGCATCGGTCCCTGTGAGAAAACAACCCTAGGGCCCTCGGGGGGCCAAAAAATCACGGAAAAACGGAGCTTATCGGCGGTGGCGCTCTCGGGTGCGGCGGCTCTCCGGCGAGGTTCGTGTTTTGGTGATTCGGCTCCGGTCAACCTGTAGAGAAAAGAATGGTGATCACGGTGATATAAAAATTGCATCAAACGGAGGCCGGGAAGGGCCTCATCGGAGGCAAAAACCGAGAGGGGGCGCGGCGGCGCCGCTGGTCTTTAGCCGCGTATTCCGGCCGTTTGGCCGGGATTTTGGCTCCGATTTGGACACAAGAGGAATCAGCGTGGAAAAACGAGTCGGGAGTATGAAATTTACCTCGATCGGCGATCAGAAATTTCCCCGGCGCGACGGCGGGTGGCGGCGGCCGGCTTCTGGTTTGTCTTCTCCGGCGAGCGGCAGGCGGCTAGGGTTTGTGGTCTGGTGTGGGGGTTCTATTTATAACCCCTTGCCTTTTGATCTCAGCCGTTCACTTTGTTTTAATCTGGGCCGTTCGTTTTTGATTGAATCTGGGCCGTCCGTGCGATTGCATCTGGGCCGTCCGATCGCGCGATTGATCTGGGCCGTCCGATCGCACCCACGCGGATCGCCAACGTGGCTCCTTTTCGGAGCGACGTGGTCTTGCCACGTGGCAGGCCCCGGTTGGCCGGGACTACTGACCGGGCCTGCTGACGTGGCTGCCGACGTGGCCCCTTTTTTTTTTTTTTTTTTTTCCTCCTTCTCGGTCCGGGCGCTACATTATATCTACAAGTATGACATAATTTATAGTGTTAAAAAATGAAAAAAAAAATCTATTATTATCCCTAAACTCCAACGTTAAAGACCTATTAACACAACATACAATAACCAAACTACAAAATCATCATATACTACTCAAACCTCAGACAATATATTTAAACTACTTTCCAATTATAACTTTTATACCTCTAAACTTATCATTAGTATCATGCAAATTCTAATAAAAAATATCTAAATATTTTTTTCATCTAGACCACTCCTTAATCAACCTGCTTTTCAAAACGCATCTTCCACCACTCCAACGCCTCGTTTTTTTGATATATTGAAAAAACTTATATTTTTTATTTTCTACACTTTTCTTCAAATATCAAAATACTTTTAAAGATTTTTTCATTCAATTTTTTTTTGGAATTCTACATTAGATTATGCAGCCAAGGATATCCAAATTGGTGTTTAAATTTGTGTTTATGCTTGACCCACACTCTTCTTGCTAATTGTGTTTTTTAAAGACTTATCCACATTTTTCATTCTCATAATGGTTATTGCCCTTATAATCTTTACTTAAACTCAAGAATATTTAGTATATTTCACTCGTCATGTTTTTAATTTTTCTCCTAGTTGTTTAAAAAAATTATCTGTTTATTCTTGCAATCTTGTATTTTTTAAAGACTATTACTATTGCGCATAAAATATGTTATGGTACCATTATATGAGAAATTGTATAAGAAAATAAATAGAGAGAGAGAAATATAGAGGTAATAGTATTCTACATTCTAGGTATTTTTATTCTTAAAGTTTATCTACTAATTAAATTAAACATAATAATTGTTTAACCACTTTTACTTATAAAACAGGTCTTATGTTATTACTTAATTACTAGTTTCCATTATCAATGTCTTAAATTTTTAATGTACAAAAAAATCTTGTTTGATCCTTAAATTTTTAAAATTCATTTCGAAATCTCCCTTATGTAATTTGATTCATGAAATGATTACATGCAAATTATTAAAAAAAATTCTCTATTGTTGAGCAAACCCAATAAGGAGCTTTCTCATTTCTCATGACTATTCTATGGGCATTTTAGATTCAAAATGCTTAGTGTTATCCTCCAACAAAGGTCCCTTAAATTCTAGTGTACTTGTTCAACAAAAACATCTGCAACCATCTAAGTTCACCTCCTCCAAGTATATTTGAATTCATTCCATTTAAATAAAGAAATAATTCTCCAACATTTGTTATGCCTTGAAAATATCTTATTATCATAACTTATTTTTTAATAAAAGATTTTTTCTACTATCTCTCCAATTTTCGTCATACTTTTATAATCAAAGGAGTTTCTTACTGTAAACAAAACTTTTCTTATACTTGTTCCCTTAATTTACTGAAACTTACAAATTTTTTTTTCATGTAAGAATACTCCATCCTAATTGAGGATCTTGTTAATAAACTTTTGATTCGAATACTCAAACCCTTATCTTCTTCCTCTTTTACATATTATTTCCCAATCGATGAGATTTTATTTCTTCTTACCTTTCCAATATCCCAATTAACTTTTATATTATGATCAAGCATGGAAAAAATACAATAACCATTCTATGTGCATTTTAGATTCAAATGCTTAGTGTTATCCTCTAACAAATGTCCCTCAAATTCTAATGTACTTGTTCAACAAAGACATCTGTAACTATCTAAGTTTACCTCCTCCACGTATATTTGAATTCATTCTATTTGAATAAAGAATTCATTCCACTCTTATAATCAAAGTAGTTTTTTACTGTAAACAAAACTTTTCTCATATTTGTTCCCTTAATTTACCAAAATTTATAGATTTTTTTTTCCATGTAAGAATGCTCCATCCTAATTGAGGATTTTGTTAATAAACTTCTTATTCGAACACTCAGACTCTTATCTTCTTTCTCTTTTACATATTATTTCCCAATCGACAAGATTTTATTTCTTCTTACCTTTCCAATATCCCAATTAACTTTTATATTACGATCAAGCATGAAAAAAATATAATAACAGTCTTAATATTATATACCTAATAATAATAATTCAATATCTTTTATATTGATATAATAATAATATTATACGTTTATACTTTTTTTTATCATTAAGTATCAACTAAAACTGGTCATGCAAGCTTAAATCAATCAGATTAGTCAGGATAATCTTGGTTATTAATAATTAAATTATTAAATTAGCCTGCCAATTATTTAAGGTGAATTTAATCCAAATTTTTATTTTGTATAATTTTGAAGTTATATATATATATATTCACGTATATACTAATGCAAACACATAATATCTTAATTTTTAAAAGATAAAATACATATTATATATCTTATTGTTTATTATAGTATTTGTTATACTAATCTAATATTGGTACAAATATGCTTATAATTTTTTTTATCATTAAATATCAATCAAAATTGTTCATACACGCTTAAATCGATAGAAATTGTTAGGATATACTATCTTTAGTACGAATGATTAAACTGTTAAAATATATTACCGTTTATTTGTGTACTTTTTTATTTTTTTTTACATATATGATCATATATATTGAAATAAACACGTAATATTAAAAAAAATCTTTTTAGATATTCCTAAAAATATTACATATCTTATTATAGTAGTTATTATACCTATCCAGTAGCGGTATTAATATGCTTCTATTTCTTTTTATCATTAAGTATTAACTATGGTCACACAAACTTAAATTGATTAGAGTGATCAAGATAACCATTTTGGCTACTAATAATTAAATTATTAAATTAGATTATCGATTACTCAAAATAATTTTTTATCCAAATTTTTAATTCATATATTATTTTAATTTTTTTAATATATGATGCACATACTAATATAGACATATAATACACTTATGATTTTTCAATCATAGAAGTATATTGTATATCTTATTGATCATTATAGTATTTATTAAACTAATCTAATAACGGCATTAATATACTTATGACTTTTTGTTCATTAAGTATTTGTTAAAATTGGTTATAAAAACTTAAAATCGACTTAATTAGAAGATATATTATTTTGATACCAATAAATAAAATGTTAAATTAAATTATAGTTCTTAGGTCAAATTTTTACTTTATTATTTCTTAAATTTTTTATGCATATGCCCACATGCATTCGTAACATTTAACTCATTACTTCACTATTATGGATTGCTCTTTTTTCTTTCTCTAACTTTAAACAGGATAATTATAAAAAAAAAAAAGTTAAAACATAAAAAATAAAAAGATATTGAAGAATTAAAAATGAAAAGAAAAAAACTTCTAACCAGGTGAAATAATTATTTTGCAAGATAACCTGATACGTTGCCTTAGAGGGGTGATATAGCCAGAATCCCAATTGATTTATTGACTAATAGGTCTGAAGGGAAAGGTGGGCGAGAGCGGAATTCAGCCAATCATAGCTCTCCAAATAGAAAAATTAATAAATAATTAATTTTGAAATCAGATACGGAACGCCACATGCCAACTAAAGTGACCGTTGTTAGGACAAACAGGGAAACAAAGTCATCTCCTCCTTCATGATCTAACGGTCACATTTCACTAGCCGTTGGTTTCCAAATATTACATGCCCCCTCGCAACACTTTCTCGCATGACAAATACCCCTCGCCGCTTCTCTCTCTTCCTGTAATCTTCAGCGTTAGATTCTGATAAATTAACGTTTTCTGAATGCTCTTCCCTTAGAATTTTCCTCTGTTCAGGAGTAGTGGGTCATTTTCAGTTCTTTGATTTAATCAACAGCCATGGTGATTTCTGATGAGAACAATCCTAATATCATGAAACCCACTACTAATCAAGGTAAAATCAAATTGATTAAACTTAGTTTTGCTTGAGCTATGTGCGGTTTCAGGATTGAACACTTCGGATCTGACGTGGGTTTTTCTTTTCTTTCTTGGTTTCTTGTTTTGTGTTTTGAACAAAAGAAGGTTTAGAAGAGACGGGTGTCAGGAAATTCGGACAGGAGATTAGGCAACCCAGGAGAGCATTGCGGGTTATTAATCAGAACTTAGTTGGTCCACAAGCATATCCTTGTGTTGTTAACAAGAGAGGCTTGTCAGAGTAAATATTTCCATTCATGGCTGTTATTAGATCTCCCGTAGAGGCTCACTTTTTGTTGATCTTCTTGCTATTCTTGAAACTAATTTTTTTAAAAAATTTTCTTTCACAGAAGAGATGACTTCTGTGAAAAAAACTTGGCTAATCCAGCGCATCGGCCAATTACCAGGTTAGTTAGAGTTGATCATTTGCTTTACTTTATTTGGAATTTTAGGAAATGAGAGTGGCTGAAACTATATTGTTAAAAAGAAGAGGTTTTTCAGATTTGAATGTTGGATCTCACGTTTCTTAAAATAGACCCTTCACTTAATCCGGCAGGGGGAGATTAAGATCCTGGATATTCATGATATAATTTATTCATTCCATTTTGTTCATTAATTATGTTGTGTTTTTTGTTGATGTTAGGAGGTTGGCCTCCCAAATATCTAGCTCTCGCGAACAAAAACCACCATGCCCAGAGGAGGTAGGCTACCAGTTCTTTCTCTTCTCTTTGTATTTTCTTTTCCCATTAAGGTAATAATGATAGTAATATGGAAAATATTTTTCTTGATTTATATAATTACGCGTAATTTTAACAGGAGAGAAGGAAGTTGAAACAAATCATTCCAAGCAAAAATGTGGAAGAGCAAGAGATGATACCAGGGTTTGATCATCCAATACCAATGGCTTTAGAAGAAACAGATGAATACGATCCTATGGTACTTAAAATCCTTTATGAATTCTCCTGAATTGCTTCTATATAGGCAAAACCCATGTGTAATTATCTCCAAATTTGGACAGGAGGAGGTTGAAATGGAAGATGTAATTGCAGAAGATCACATTATGGATATTGATAGCTGTGATGCAAAGAATCCATTGGCGGTTGTTGAGTATGTGGATGAAATATACGACTATTATAGAAAAATGGAGGTATGTTAGATTTGGTTATTTGGTACCTTTAACGCTTATATCTTTTGATCATTAAGTATAAGCCAGAATTAGCCATACAAGCTTAAAACGATTAGATTAGTCGAGATATACCATCTTAGGCACTAATAATTAAACTGATGAATTAGACAGTGTTCAAAGTAATTGTTTAGCTTAAGTTTTTATTTTTAAATTTTTTTACATAAATAATAATATGCATACCAATACAAACAGGTAATGTTTAATAAAAATTTAACTTCAAAAAAAAATTAAGTATGGACAAAATACTATTAGTGGTCTTGATCGAATAAATATAATATTTATCTTGTTCGTCGTTGTAATATTTTATCATACTAGTCTAATATTCAAGAATTGCTATTTGCTTGCAAATGTCTATCCTCAACCTTTAACCTCATTTTGAGCAACATAACTGTTGTGCAGAGTTATAGCTGTGTTTCACCCAACTATATGGCACAGCAGATGGATATCAACGAGAGAATGAGGGCTATACTAATTGACTGGCTCATTGAGGTATGCAAAAAAGTTGAATTGCAATAATTGGTTGCGGTTCAGAAGATCCTTAAGATCAATCATGATAAGAACTTCTCGTTACAGATCTCTTAACCATAAAGTGGGTTCTGTGGAAATGAACAGGTGCATGACAAGTTTGACCTGATGAAGGAGACACTGTTTCTTACAGTAAATCTCATAGACAGATTCTTATCCGAGAAAGCAGTTGTAAGAAAGAAGCTTCAGTTGGTTGGTTTGGTTGCAATGCTCTTAGCCTGCAAGTATGAAGAGGTTTCAGTTCCCATTGTTGAGGATTTGGTTCTTATATCAGACAAAGCCTACACCAGAAATGAAGTTCTTGATATGGTAAAATTCACCTTTTTTATGTCTCATCTGTGTGAATTCTTCTCTTTTTATGCCAAATGGTCAAAGTTCTTGATATTTGCAGGAGAAATTGATGCTTAACACATTGCAATTCAACATGTCATATCCGACACCATATGTTTTCATAAAGAGATTTCTCAAGGCTGCTCAATCCAATAAAAAGGTAAGTCTAGCCAGATTCCCAAAACGTATAAATAATGAATTGAGTTGTTTTCATCCGCTCATGTAGTAAATTTTAACAGGTAGAGATGTTGTCCTTCTTCTTGATGGAGGTGGCACTTATAGAGTATGAGATGCTCAAGTTCCCACCATCATTGTTAGCAGCAGCAGCTATCTACACAGCTCAGTGCAGTATTAATGGGTTCGGGCAGTGGAATAGGACATGCGAATGTCACAGTCTCTACTCAGAAGATCAGCTCCTGTGAGTCTCATCAAAATTAATCGATACATGGGAATAAAAGGGTAGAGACTGATTGAGTGATTACTAAACTAAATCATTGATTGATTTTGATTTTGGTTGCAGAGAATGCTCAAGGTTGATGGTGAGTTTCCATCTAAAATCAGGGACAGGAAAACTCACTGGAGTATACAGAAAATATTGCACATCCAAGTTTGGGTATACAGCAAAATGTGAACCTGCACAGTTTCTTTTAGAGACCAAACCATAAGAAGCAAAGCCAAACCATAAGAAACTGCACAATTTCTTTGATTTTACCAGATAATCATAATAAATAAATATAGCAACTACTGTTGCCAATTTCTGTATTTTTCACATAGCCGTGGTTGGCCCTTTGTATATGTTCTGATTGAACATAATTTAGACTTCAAACTCAATTATGTTGAAACAAATATTCTTTTATTTTGGTAAAAAATACTGCAAGTTAAAAACATTTTCCTGCTATTTTATTCCTTAGTGTCTTTATAATTTTTTTAATGTTTTTTATAAAATTAAACTTATGAAATTAAAAATGATATTTTTAGCTAAAGTCAATTTGTACTGCAGGTGCTTTATTTCTTTTTTTCAGTAAGAGATAAAATTTGAACAAAATTTGAATAAAATTCTTCATTAGACTTCTCCGCAGGGCAGAAAGTTTACTTCCTTCTCAAATTGTACTGTGGGTATTATTACATTGTTCTTTACAATGTGTAAACAAATTTATAAAACAATACTTCTAGTGATACAAAAAGAATACAAGCTTGTAATTTGCAAACTCTTCAATCACACTGCAGAAAGTTTACTTCCTTCTCAAATTGGCTGTATTTATTGTAGTGTGGGTATTACATTGTTCTTTACAGTGTGTAAACAAATTTATAAAACAATACTTCTAGTGATACAAAACGAATACAAGCTTGTAATTTGCAAACTCTTCAATCACACTGCAGAAAGTTTACTTCCTTCTCAAATTGGCTGTATTTATTGTACTGTGGGTATTACATTGTTCTTTACAATGTGTAAACAAATTTATAAAACAATACTTCTAGTGATACAAAACGAATACAAGCTTGTAATTTGCAAACTCTTCAATCACACTGCAGCAGGACAGCAATGGCTGTGTACTCTCATCCAAGAAAATAAGTGATCGAGGTTTCCTTCACAACTCTAAGAAAAAGAAAATCTTGAGAAAAGAGACCGAGCTGATCCTGAAGCATCACTTGCTGAGCTTGGAACCTCTGCAGAGGAGCGGTACGCTTGTTGACACTTTTGAATCTGAATTTGTATATAAAAATGCAGCACAAATTAGCACAGTTGAGCATCCAGAGATGGCAGCTGACATTGTATTTGTATTTTAGACGTGATTTTGTAACATTGAAACCATATATGCAATATCTAAGATGTTTACCTTTATCTCTTCATTAAAAAAAAGCTTTTATTTAATGGAAATTGTAGCAAATCCAATCAAAGCATAACAAGTCCAAATCATGATACAACCCCAACTCACTGTATTCATATCTAGTTTCATAAAAAATTGAAACTGGGTTCCAGTAATCACTTGGTTGCGCCAGCTGCCTTCAAGATGTTCTTTCAAGTACAAGAATCATTTTCAGTACAAAATCCAAGAACAAATTGACATATAGGGCATCTTCAAGTTTCTTCCTCTTCCTATCCTAAAGAAGCTAATTTATCTAAAGTGATTTAAGTAATTGCCATCAATTTATGGACTCCTCTTGTTTTGCCTAAAAAACTGAAATGCAACTATGCCTCCAATGCATGGTGATTCCGAAGAGAATAATTAGGATTAATTAAAAATAGATCATTATTTATATTTTGAATGGCTAAGGTTATTTTATAGTCTAATGTTAAGGCCGAAAATTTGGAGGCACCATTCCTCCAAAGGTCATGGTAGTAGTACCCTTGCTGCTTCTTATTATTATTTTTTAAAACAGAAGATGATGGATCAAACACAAAATTTCACCTCTTGTGGGCTAAACTGAAGCAGCATTCCTATTACAGGTAGTAAAGCTTCTACTTCACCTGGCAAGAGAAGAGGTTTCAGAATTATAAACAAACAGAGTATCAAACACCAAACATATATGAATACTATATGCTAAAAGAGGAGGAAAGGGGGCTTCAACTATTATAAATTTCCAAAATGATTGACCCAGGTACCTGTTTCCAGTAGCTTTAAGATGACATTTTTTAGATAAGTCATATCAACCCCTTCCCTCTTCTGTTTCCTCTCCATCTCACGTAGCTCATTCTTCAGCATGGCTTCCTATGTATAGGATGCATTTATACAACCAAAAGAAATGAATATGGGAAGGAAATTGACACCATAAAACTTTTAAAGAAAGCTCTTGCTTTATCCCCTCACTAACTTGCTTATGAGGAAATAGACAACAAATATATGTTCTTTCAGCCATACTCGAGGAAGTCTAAATCTAAACCACTTCCAGTTTTTAAACAAGCTCTTAATTTTATAATATAGTTTTAGAATACTCTCTTTTGTGTAGAAATTGGAATGAATTTAATGGAAGTAAACATCATCCCTTCAACAAAAGAATTCCAAACTGATAATCAGGATCTTCAAAGGTCGATTCTTCTCCGTACCTGTTGACTGTGGAGACGGTTTTCACGTTCAAGCTCCTCGATTTCCTCCTGAATTAACTTGACTTTGAGAAAGTTAAATGTGTAAAAATTATTATCAGAATCTAGGCTGGGCAAGACATACTTGAAGTGCTAAGATATGGCGCTGAGATTGTGCTAACTCTTCCTCTCTCTGAGCTTGTTGCCTCGCCAAAAGCTAGAATTGGAAGTCAAACTTTAAGCCAAAAAACCTTTTTGAAAATTCTTCCAAACAATAGTATCAATTGAATGCAACTGGTGAAAAAATAATACATCCCAAAACAAACAAATTTGACAGTAGTTGTATATAAAATGGTTGAGCCTATGTAGTTCATTTCATTTTATATGGGGAAAAGAAAAGAACACAAAACTCTCATGGATAAGTAACCAAGCATAGGGTAAGAGCCTAAGACGGAGCTTCCAGAAGTAGGCCATACAATATGCTAAAAAGTGGAAATTTCAGAATCCTAGTGATTTACTTAATGAGCTGAATGGTGAGTGATAAAAGACTATTATAAGCAGTTGTAGTTATACCAGAATCTGTTGTTCTGCTGCAGAGGTACTCAAGTTTGAAGCATCCTGCTTTGTTGAGACTGACAATACCAGTTTGATAGAAGGAACCATTAGAATCCAAATAAGCATGCATTCATTTGTTTCAATATCACAGAATTTTAGCTAATACATCTAACTAAATATATACAGCAAGTGAGCAGAAAAACTTTTAAATACCTGAAGTATGAATTTCATTGTTGTCAGCCTGAGATTGTGACAGAAAACAGAAGATCATTTCAAATGCACGTTAATTATGAAGACAAAGGCTATCATATTTAAATTGGAGAAGCACATACTGGGGTTCTTGAATCCAAAGAATGCTGAAGATTCTTGTTATCATCTAAAAGTTTAGACACTTCTCTATCCTTTTCCTCAACCATTCGGTCAGCAAGATCACGGAAAGAATCATGCTCTTCCTACAAGTAAGAAACATATTAACAAAAGAGTAAAGTCAAATTTATGCATCTATCAGGATCTATTGTTAAAGGACTGGGTTGTGGCTTTCTGTTGATTTTTATGTGGCTTTTCTTTTTCCTTCCTTCTGTTGGCTCAGGAGAATTTCTTGCTACACGTGTGTACATATTTCTTCTCTATCTAATAATATTTGCTTTAGCATTAATATATATATATATATATATATATAGAACCTCAAAGAAAAAATTGCAAGATACCTTAAGACGCTTGTACCGCAGTTTGAGCTCTTGTAGTTCTTTTTGCAGATCTTCCCCAGATGATGCTTCATTTTGAGCACTCAAGTTCTCACATCTGCCTGTAGATTAGAAGCCCCGAGTATAAACTTTTGCTCAAAGCAACATAAAAATGCATTGTGCATTTCCAGAAGACAAAGGAGAAAAAGTGAAACTAGCAAACAATCATTATTTGCCCAAGCATAGATATCATACGGCGCCAAGTCTCTTCCAAATTTTGGAGGTCTATTTCCCATGCTTGCTTCTCCAATTGGTGGCGAGCATTAGCAGAGTCCAGCCTCATCTCAAAACTCTTAATCTGCTGTTTTGCATCACTGAGGGCTGTATCTCTGAAATGAATGAGGAATGAAAGAAGTGTCTCAATTTGTTATAAGCTTTATAAAATCTTATACCAGAAAGGCCAGAGTAACACAATTTTGACGGACACTCCTGTATTTTCAATAGCAACCGCATAATACATTATGCAAATGACTAAAGAATCTTTTTCCACCTCCAACGGGACAAAAGTTAATTTATATTGCTACCTTCACAGAAAAAAATAAATTAACATGCTACCTTTCTGCTAGTTCTTTACTCTGATTAGCCAAAGCATCCTGGAGATCTTGGCGGGCACTTTCCCTTTCTGCAGATGCCAACATTACTTCTCTTTCAGCCTCCTATAAGACCAGAGGAAGATCATTGGCAACGTTAAAGCGTTTGTCTAAAATGTCTCAAAATATTGATTTGTCTATGAGATATTGAGCCAAATAAAGCATGTACTTTCAGAGCTTCCTCAAGCGCTTTGATCTGTTCAGAATCTTTAGCTGCAGCCAGCTCTGCATCCTTCTTCTGGAGAAGTGTATGAGCACGAACCTTATAGGAAGAGAATTCCGTTTCAAGGCGACTGATCTGCAGATTACAAATTAGGAGGAGAAAATGTGAGGGCATGTCACATAGTACATTTGGACATTAAGGTTCTGGGCATAGAAGAGCCACTAATGTTCAAACATTTTCGGAGCGAAAAGGTTTTCCATGAGACAGAGAAATAAAAACTATTAGCCACATAAAAAGTTTTGTGAATAAGTGATTGTCTGACAATAAGGAATATTCATTTTTCAACTGAACATGATGTATTGAACAAATAATTCATTAGATAAAATTTATGAATGTCAACTAAGTACCATAACAAAATTGTTTCCAGTTGTTCAGTCATTTGATAATCAGAGTCATTATTTGATAAATAATCATTATGAATTAGACTCAACAAAATTCAATCAATCGTTTTTTTCTGCCATTAAGATGGAGAACTGAATCAAGAATTTTTTTCTTTACCATCAATCTAATCTTTTTTTTTTTTGAGAAAATGAGACATTTAAGTCATACAAGTAAAGAAATCTATTCATTTATTAGAAAAAAAAAAACATGAGTGGTGATTGGGTTGATGACAAAATAGAATCCCGGAACGTTTTATGTAAATGTCCAAGCTGCCAAGTGTGTGTAAGTGCCTTGTTATTACGAGTTTCACTAACTATTAAAACTGATCAAACTATTGAACAAAAAAATACCAAGAACAAAAAGGAAATACAGGAATTTCCTAGAAGAAACTGAAAAATAGAATGTGAAAAAAAAAGTTAGTTATTTTTTTTAAAGGAGATGAGACAAGTCAGTCGTATCGTGTTGTAAGCGAACTCCTGCAAATGTACTAACCACTGATCTCAGCATAGACCATTCAGATAAGCAACAAAGACAGTATTTACTCTGGCTTGTAAAATTCCCTACCTATCAATGCTCAAAACAAATAACTGACTTGCAGAAACAAAGTCGACCTAGTCCCAGTCTCCCAGATTGTTGCGATGAAGGAATTTCTAATAGGTCTGTCCATTGAGAGTTCTTCCTCACAGATAATAGGTAGGACATGACCACCGATGTACAAAACTCATGCCAGTTTCCAAGCAAAGAAACAAATATAATTTAAAAATATAAGAAAGCTCAAATTCCTTTAAGCAGGACATGCACTGCTCACAACATTCATTTTAAATATCATTTTCCCATATCTTACATGTTTTTATCTTCCAGATATGAATTTTAACCTCAATGCATCGAAGAGAGGATCGGGAAAAAAAAAATTAAACAACTTCCACAGCCTAAAAGATAAGATTAGAAGTTCTGTCTCTCTCACATAGACCCAGAAATTATGTAACGGAAAAAAGGAAAAAAGGTTTACCTCCTCTCTGGCAGCTCTTAACTCAGCATCTTTTGCACTTAATATCTGGTTTTGTATAGATACATCTGATTCCAGCTGACCTGTATGTAAGGAAACATGAATATACATTTCCTGCAAACAAACGTTATTTAACCAAGAATCTATAAGAGCTTCATGTACTTCGCATT